TTCATTTTCCTGTGCATTACTGTGGTACAAATATTTGTGACAAGGCGAATATATGTACAGTATTTTGTGACAATTACATTACAGGTCGCAAAGTCAAGTAAAATGAATAAAATACAGTCAAATACAAATCATATGAATGATTTTAATCTACCATTGTATTATTTGACTGGAAGCGGATGGAATTCATTATCATCTCTATCCCTTTGCACTGTTTTTCTATCCCCAAAAATCCAAAATGTATATCTACAGCAGCCCTGTGTGACTGTCAAGGAGCAAAACCTAGTGTCAGATCATGCATACTTCTTCATCAGTAAGCCCTCGCTCTGGAGACGAAGCAAATGTGTGCACTGGCCTGACTGTTTTTCTCTTTCTCTCCAGATGCTTTCTCACAACAACAGCCTGTTTAATGAGGTGGTATAACGCTGGCAGATCTGAGGTCAGGCCTTTTAGACCTTTATAATTTTACTGCCAATGACGAAGCACACCTGGGCCACACCACAAGAGTCCCTAAGGTTCACACAAACACCTCAGCAGAAATCATTAGTGTGTGAGGGTCAAAGCTTTAAAGGTATAGTCCACCACAAAATGAAAAATGCATTAACATTTACTCTCACTCGTATCATTTTAAACGTATGACTTTTCTTCTGTGGAACACAAAAGATTTGTATTTTGAAGAATGTCGGGAATGGGAACTAAACCGTTTTGGATACCATTTACTTCTAAATCATACAGGTTTGGAACAACACAATCTCCATAGTTACTCAACATGGGTAAATGATGAAAGAATTTTCTTTTTTGGGTGAACTATCCCTTTAAGATGTGTTCTTGCACATCTTCAACTGGCAGCTTTAGCCACAAATCACCAGTATTGTTATTGTTACCTAAAACTATTCAAATTATTCATTTAAATTAAGCTGAAATAAAATAAAATTAAAGTATCAGAAGAAAAACCTAAAGTTAACAAATTTGAAATGTTTCTTTGGCAACAAACTAAAAACTATTTTAAGCTGAAGTGCGTAAATTACTAAAACTGAATTTTAAAAAAATGTTAAATATAATTAATAAAAATAAAAATGACAAAAGCACATAAAAAAATTACTTAAAACTTAAAAACATTCAAATGAAAATAAAAAAAAAGCTAATTCAAAAATATGAATAATTACTATAATAGTATATAGATAATACTAAAATAACACTGGAGATCACAGCATAAAATGAACTTGTCTTCATCAATGATAAGACTATTAAACCTACTTATAATAATATAATAATAAAATAAAAATAACTATGAAAAAAAATATGAAAGTGCAAGAGGAAAACTGGATACAACTATACAAGTTAATGGGGGGGAAAAAGAGAACTTCTTTATGAAAATACTTGCAAATTATAATATTCAATAGTTGTGTGTTTCTTGCCTGCCCCCTACTGGTTCAAGTATATTTCTATCCATTACTGAAACCTCAGAACAAAGTATACAGAGAGGTGTTCAAAAACATTTAATTTTCCTTAATAGAGACAGAATTACAGCAAACATTGATTCGGTCAGGTTAAGATAACCAATAAATAACTGGCCATGTTAATATCCATTCAAAATGTATTTTCATCAGTCATAAAACAGCGAATCAAGTCACTATTTTCAGAGTGAGTGATGACAATCTTGTACATCTTTTTTTTTTTTTTTTTTAATGCCTGGTAAACTCATAGATTACGATTCAGCTGAGTTCTTGCAGTAGCTTTTAGCCACCGGTGCCGTTCCCTTGTTCATTATACAAATTCATTGGTGCCATTAAAACAATCGCTTGACCAACTCAGATCACTCCATGGGAAGCACATACTACATTATCTTACAAAACAGGGCCTTTTTAAACCACGAATGTACTGAGAAGAGCGAAAATGAAAGGAGAGCGTGTGAAGGCACCCTGTTATTGTTCCATAAAGGGAAGTGGTCGCGAGTTTGTTCAGTTCAGTTGGCACGTTATCAAAAGCACAGTGAACTCTGCTGTGCTTGTTTTGATAGCTCAAAACCTTACAGACCTTTTAATGTTTCTTATTTGCATATGTAGAAAAGGAAAGTGTAAAAATGAGCAGTTTTAAAAATACAAGTGTCAATCTCTCTATATATATTCTAATATAATATAAACTCTTTTATAAGTGAGCCGTTTGGTCCAAGTTCCAAATGTACAGAACACGAATATTGATTTCACACATAAAGTTAGGTGGATTCATTCTTTCAACAAGGACTCAACCTTGATTAGTGTCATAGAGAGAGAGAGAGAGAGAGAGGGAGAGAGAGAGAGAGGGATGCTGGGGGAATTTGAAGGGCACTTGCTGCAGTCACATCACCTTTCGTGGAAGACTGGTGGGCAGGAATCGTTGGATCTAAAAGTAGGGCACTGTGGTGAGCTTGTACCACTTGACAGTCTCTCTGCTCAGGTCAAAGTCTTTAAGGCTGAGGGTGATGCCACCCAAACAGCAGTTCTCTCGCAGAGACTCTGCACTGAGCACGCTCAGTTGAAGCTCCCTTTGCTTCAGGGTTTCCTTACTGTAGCCGCTGTACACCAGCTATGAACCAAGAAAGAAGGAAGCTGTTTATTAGCTTTAGAATAAAGCAGAACTAATCATGCATGGTTCAATAGGTAGGTTTTGGTTACCATTTCATTAAATGTCGGGTTCCTAGTTTTCCTCGTGATCTTTGTTTTGCGTTTGGAGGTTTTGTGGGGGTCTGGGAGAAGGTATGTTTTCACATAAGGGTTTGGGTCTGCTCCGTCATTTGACATCTGTGTTTGGGAGAACAAAACGGATGAGATTTTGGAATGAACAGAAACTGGGGGTTGAAGACATGTGCTATTGTTATTTCTTACCAGGTCTTTAATGTGCATGACCATGATGAAGAGCGTGCTGTTTCTGTAGGACACTGACAGCTTCACCTCACCCTCCACGCGGCCAGTGGTGGGACTCACTGGAGGAATATCTGCCAAATGAACATCAAATATATGAAAACAATCAGGATAATGTGGTGCGTTAAACCCTAATCTTGAAAAAACACAAGTTCTGAAATACACAAAACTCTAAGCAGATGACAATATACATGAGATTTTCTTAAAAAAAGAACCTTAGCATGTACAATTAATTATTTGAATAATTTAAAAATGAAAAATGCAAACATTTTAAATATGACGCGCATACCTAGAGTTTTTGAGAGTCCTTCAACCCCCTCGGTCTTGTCATCTCTCGCAATAGGGTGGAAGAAGGTGTAGATAAGATCACACTAAGAAATAGAAAAACAAAAAATTCAACTCAAGTCACATTTATTTACACCACTGTTCTAAAGTTTGACATCAGTAAGACTTTTCAGAACAAAAGTATTACTTATATTAAAGGGTTAGTTCAGCCAAAAATGAAAATTCTGTCATTAATTACTCACCCTCATGTCGTTCCACACCCCTAAGACCTTCGTTCATCTTCAGAACACAAATTAAGATATTTTTGATCAAATCCGATGGCTCAGAGAGGCCTCCATTGACAGCAACGCCACCCAAATTCTCAAGATCCATAAAGGTACTAAAGACGTCGTTAAAACAGTCGACGTGACTACAGTGTGACTACAACAACCTCTTCTCTTCTGTGTCATTCTCATACATTGTTTACGTCCAGCGCTTCCAAGTTCTATGTCAGAACACCGGCTCATTATTGGACGGCTCCTGCATCAGCATCACATGCATGCATCGCGCTGCTCACATGTGCAGCTTTGGCCAATAATGAGCCGGCGTTTGGACGTAGAACACGGAAGCCTTCACTGTGCTTACTGCGTTAACCGCATAAGGATAATGACAGGGAAGAGAAGAGATTGCTGAATAAAGTTATTATTTTTGCTTTGTTTATGCGCACAAAAATATTCTGGTCGCGTCACAAAATTATTGAAGAACCACTGTAGTCTCGTCGACTGTTTTAACGAAGTCTTTAGTACCTTTAAGGATCTTGAGAGTTTGGGTGGCGTTGCTGTCAATGGAGGCCTCTCTGAGCCATCGGATTTGATCAAAAATATCTTAATTTGTGTTCTGAAGATGAACGAAGGTCTTAGGGGACCTTTTTTGGCTGAACTAACCCTTTAAGCAAGGATGCATTATATTGATAAAAATTGATCAGTTGTTTATGATTAAATAAATGCAGCCTTGTTATACGTAAGAGACTCCAAAAACATTTGAAAAATTCAGACAATGTTACTAAAATCAGTGCATATTCATTTGAGTGATTTAATTGGTTGACTCCTCATCACTGCTGGAGATTAACAACAACAACAAAAAAGCCTAAAATGATATTTTACAATAACATTTTAAAGCAACAACTGTTTATGTAAAATGTCCCTTCACCCACCTGGGTGACTTCTGTTGAACCCCTCATCAAATTGTGCACATAGCTGCTCAATTCCACCTTCCTTTTGGATGCCACATCCTTGATATGTGTACGTCCCAGCACCATTTTACTGGGAAATCTATAAACAGAAAAAGACTCTTAGGAACATAGAAGTGAAGGATTTGACAAACCATGGTACAAGAGGTGAATTCATATACCCCGGCAACTTCCACAGAGGGAAAAGGATGGTCAACTTGTTGTGCAGTTCCTGGAACTCATCAAAGGTGCGGAAGACAAACTGCGGCTCACTTTGACCTTCCCTAAGGATCCGTATAACATACGTCTGAAAGATATGTGAAAAACCAGGTGAAATTAGAAAAAAATTCTTCCTTCTAAGGAAGATACTAAATATATTTACAAAATATATTCTTTAAGTATCTGTAATCATTTTTGTTATTACTACAAAAAAAATTATATAAACTGCTTTATAAACTCCTCTTAAAAATGAGTCTCACATAGTGCTTGTCTGGATTGTATCTCTTCTGAAATGAAAATATGGAGGCATCTCGGATCCTGCCGTCCTGCTTTATTGTGTATGTCCGGGGAGCGAAGGAGAGGATTGGCTCGTCATTGGAGGGAAGACCAGAGAAACGCAACTGGGCCAGATTATGGAGGAAGAAATTAAACTTTGTGGCCACACTGCCAAGACTAGATTCAATCAACCTATAGGAAAAAAGATACAGAGACATGTAAACATTTTATGTAGAGAGCTAAATAAACAAATAAATCCATGAGCAAAAAAATAAAACATTTACCTTGTGAAGAAAATTGTAGCCTCCGCATCTGTAGTCTGAGGTTGAAGAGCATCATACACATATTTAAGATCTTGGACTCCAGTCAGCTCAGGTAAACCGGACTGTGTCATCTGTGTTAAACACACAAATACAAAAGTGATCAATAAACAAGTAAACAGTAAAGCAACAAAAGTCCTGAATGAAGAAAATGATGCAAACAGCTTCCTCTCCCTTGGGTTGTGCAATGACCTTAAATCAGCAAAACATTTCAACAGAGACTTTCATGTTGACACAAGTCCGTACGGATGACACACAAATGACTGTTTTGTATGCAGTGCAGAGCTGTATAATACCAGAGACAGTAGGTTGAGGAAGAGGTTGGAGTGTTTGCGTATCAGGTTGTAGGCTTGAGAGCAAAGGTCAACAAAAAGCTGGAAGCGGCTAGTGGGTCTCTCTCCTCCATTAATGACGTAAGCCATATCAGAGGTTAAGACAAATGGTGCTCGGTCCCTGCAAAAGAGAACAAAAAATTATTAATAAAACCAAACAAAACCACAAACTGGGCAGTCTTTTATGTGACCCTAGACTTCAAAACCAGTCTTAAGTCGCTGGAGTATAGTTTTAGCAATAGCCAAAAAAACTATGTATGAGTCAAAATGATCGATTTTTCTTTTATGCCAAAAATCATTAGGATATTAAGTAAAGATCATGTTCCATGAAGATATTTTGTAAATTTCCTAATTTTTGATTATTAATATGCATTGCTAAGAACTTAATTTGGACAAATTTAAAGGCGATTTTCTCAGTATTTGGATTTTTTTGCACCCTCAGATTCCAGATTTTCAAATAGATGTGAGGCAATTTTAATATGGATGGATGTGCTTTATTTAACTTCTTTTGGACTGATGCACTGCAACACCCTCTGCACTGACTGCCATTAAACAGCTTGGAAGATCAAAGACTAATTATATTTTTAATATAACTCCGACTGGAATCATCTGAAAGAAGAAAGTCATATACACCTAGGATGCCTTGAGGGCGAGTAATTCACGGGCTAATTTTCATTTTTGGGTGAACTAACATATAAAATATGCATAAATATGCATAAATACTGTAATAAATGTATTGTTCATTGTTTGTTCATGTTAGTTAATACATGAACTAATGGAACCTTGTTGTAAAGTGTTACCAAAAACTGATTTTCAGTTAGTCGCAAAGGCAACAAACACACAAATTACAAAAACATACAACAAAATTACTCAAATTAAATTGAAAACAATGTAAAAAAAAAATTTCTAAATATTAACAAAAACTAAAACAGTATATCAACGATATTAAAATAGCCGAGCTGTTCAATGTCCCCGACAACTTCTGTAGTCCCATTTAGCCCCTTGTTAGCAACAGACACATAAACGCCTATAGTAAATCATGACTGTGAATTACTGATGCATTTTATGTCATAGGATAAAATTACTTGCGTTAACCACAGACCTTATTTCAGACCATTAAACAATGGCCCATTCAAAAAACCCAATGACTTCAGAACGATGGAATTGGAAGGACAAAATCTTTAATATGTTTCTGGGTTTTAGGACTCATTCCTGCAACACTCTATTTAGCCAAGACAGACAAAGCCATAACATGATAAAATGTGTTTACAAGTAAAGTAAAAAAGAGCATTACAAAGAGCTTTCCATCTGTATGTAAACCACTTGTTCACATGGGAGATATAAGATGAGGCATTACATGACCAAAAGTATGTGGACACCCCCTTCTGATAGCATGTTTGGCTAGGCCCTTTAATTCCACTGAAGAAAGATCTTAATGCAACAGAACACAATGACACTCTTGAGAATTGTGCGCATCCCACTTTTAGGCAATGCTTTGGGGAGGACCCTTGCAAAACCCTTGTGCAAAGTGAGATCCATAAAAAAAAATGATTTAGCCATTGATTAGCACTTGACTTGCCTGTACAAAACCCAAATCTGAACCCCACTGAACACATTTGGAATGAATTTGAACACCTAATGTGAACCAGATCAATATCTGACTCCACTGATGCTCTTGTGCCTGAATGGAAGTGCCCATTTTTAAAATAAATGCTCAACATGCACTTATTGGCATGGTGTTTTGGTTTCCATATATTTTTGCCATATTGCGTATCAGTACAAGACAATATATCAATATTGACTGGATGAACTGGAGGGATCAAGGGTTCATCCAAATACAATCACCCATTGATCCAATAATCTGTCACAGGACATTGTACTTATTAGAAAAACACTTAAGTGTTTTGCTAGGACTGAAAGTCAAACCCAGCTCTTGTTCAAACCCAAAAGAAAACTGAAAAAACAAGAGATTCCTTGTATACTTATGTAACCTTTCCTTTATCTGATGTTTATTCAGATCATGTTTTGAACAGTATAATTAAATTAGATTTTGGAACTAGTTGTTGAACAATTCAAAAAATCCTGCACTTGTTTCCCAGAAGCCTTTGGTTTGAACTCATTGATCCTTACTGAATTTAATAAAATAAAACCTACAACTAAAATAAAGGAGCACAAGACTCTGCTGCTGGCACAGATCTACATTATCTATTTTTTTTATTCAGCAAGGACACATTAAATTGATCAAAAGTGAAAAAATAAAATAAAAACTTGAACTTCCTATTCATAAAATAATTGTGAAAACATATAGCACCCTTTCCTCAAAAATATTAAGCAGCACAACTGTTTTC